ATCATAGATATCTGATGATTTATTTGTTCTATTTCAATCTAATTTGGGTGCTGTAAATCAAAACTAGGTCCTTTGGTAGGATGATTCATGATTTTAGGTATTCTTGGATAGTTAGGTATTTGACTGTCAACTCATCAAATTTTCCATCTGTCTCTTACCGGTAGGGTGGGTATTTGATTGCTAACGACAAATTTGATTGCTGTCTCGGTGGCAATTGACTTCGAGGGAGAAAAAATGATGAGCTTTGAGCCTCTTTGGGAGCAAAGCAAATCTTGCCTCATCATCCTATTTCTAATTCTTGTCTTCCCTACCAATCAATGTCTTCACTCTTCAACTTCTCTCGCCCTTCATTCCTGTTTGACTTTGATCCCTACTTAAGTTGTTTGTTTAGCTTCTAGCCTTTGTCTTCTCTATCATGTCCTTCTACCTCCCTCATTGTTTTGTTCTCTCCCTTTATAATAATCATTCTACTGTGATTCTGTCAGTTTCACTATGGTAAATATGTAAACCTGATTTGCTAACAAAGCAGATTAGTATTTTAGCTTTTAAATAGCAAAGGGGTACTAGGAGTTCAGTTTGTGGTGATTTCAGGTAGTTGAAGATTATTTTGTTGGAAGGAACCCAATTTTCACACTTATTTACCATGTTTGATTTTTCGCCACAGGCAATTCAAGATGAAGTGGTTTCTGAGGAGATTGAGCTGCACAGAATTTCTGATGCTAATTCAATTCCTCTCCCCCTTAAGAAATATCTGGAAACACTGTCCTCGGAAAGTGTTGATATCTTGGATGGCAAAACTCCTTCAAGCATGGCAATAAAATCTTGCATGAGAGACCTCTACCATTATGCACGAATATCTGGAATACATGTCCTAGAATGTATTGTGGATACAGCTCTATCTGCAATTAAGAGGGAACATCTTCAAGAGGCTGGTCATGTATGCTATTGTTTCTGTTGATGCACTCTAATATTTTTTTCTGAACTGTTTTCTTGGACAAGTTCTATGGCTACATTAATTGACCAAGGACTATGTTTAGGTCCTGTCACTGTTTCCCCTTCTTCAGCCACTTGTAGCTGTCTTAGGGTGGGATCACTTGTCAGGTAAGACAGCACTGAGAAGAAGATTAATGCAGCTACTTTGGACAAGTAAATCTCAGGTACTCAGGCTGGAAGAATTTCCTGTTTACAAGAAGCAATCTGATGAGGTAATCTTCTTTTATGTACTAATATTTCTGACATATGTCAAACCATTAATGTTCATTTGTGAAAACCATTTGAATGATATTGGTGTATCTTGACAGATATTATGTGTGGAGTATCTCTGTGATGTGTTATGTTTTCATCTGGATATTGCTTCCTATGTTGCATGTGTCAACTCCGGTCGGTCTTGGAATTCAAAAAAATCGTTGCTCTTTTCTCAAAGAGATAATATTGCAGATGAAAATGACAGTGGAGTTTTAGATCCTTTTGTTGAAAACTTCATACTTGAAAGATTGGCTGCTCAATCTCCCATGAGGGTAAGTGTTTCTGCTTCTGAAGCTTATAGGACTTAAATGTGACGAACCAACACAATGATTTTGAGTTTAACTGTTAGTAACTTGTAAAGATAATTATGAATCTGTCTTATATTGCTATGTTGATGATTATAGGTTAATTTTATAAGTTAATTCTTTTGTCTGTTAAATATCTTAATTATTTATAAAAACTTCTGCTTTAAACTTTTGTCTCTATACTCATGAACAAAACCATATTATTTTCATCATTTTCTCGAAGAAAATAGTTAGTACATTATATCTGTTGTTAATGAGATATTAATGGTTTTGTCTGTGGTAATCTTTTTTGTAGGTTTTGTTTGATGTAGTCCCAGGGATAAAGTTTCAAGACGCAATTGAGCTTCTTAGCATGCAACCCATTTCTTCAACTTCTGCAGCATGGAAACGGTGCATGACTTGATATGTTTCATCTCTTATTGCTTTAGTAGTACTAAATAGTAAATATAAATATGTGAGAAATTTGGACTTGTGATGCAAAGCCTTTTGCATAAACCGAACTGTATCTTTATCTATCTTCATGCAGAATAAACGTAGATTACATGTGCACAAACATGCCATTTTTACTTAATCGCTTGGATTATTTATTGTTATTACACATTCTTGAAGATTCGTGAAGTATGGATGATAATATTGGTTAGTAAGCCAATAGCTCAACAATTTACTGTTTATTTTGGAACTGTTAAGAAGGGAGGGGCATTTTCTTGTCCCTTGCAACTCAAGATGCAGTAAGAAATACCTAAGATGTTCTCCTTCCTCTAAAACAGCTCAACATCAGATTATCTCACTGTTATCATCAACCACTTTGGCTTTATAGATTTGTGTCCTCGACCCCTCTAAAACAGTTTCTCAAATAACAATATTATCTTATTATCATATCATATGTGCATTTCTCAAAACAGTTTCTCAAATAACACATTTCTCTAAGAGGAATGTGTTCACTTTGATGTAAAATGGCCCTTTTACTACCTATTCTTGGAGTTTGGTGCATTCCAATTATTCTGGATTTATCTTTTTTTCTTGCTGATACTCGATGCTAATACAATGTACATGACAGGATGCAAGATATTGAACTTTTGCACATGCGTTATGTTCTTGAGTCAGCTATTTTTGCTCTAGGAATCATGGAGAGGTGTGCTGCTGTTGTAAATAACCCCCAACTACATGTAGCTATGTCATACTTGAAAGACATGCAAAATCATATTGAGGCTATCAGAAATGTTCCTCGCAGAGTTAGTCCCTTTTTCAGAAAGTTATTTATTAATTCATGCCTCCGAATGCCTACTTCTATTCTGCACTAAAATTGTAGAGAGGATATTTAAGACTTTAAGTAATCTGAAAATTTTGACCCTGCATGCCATTGCTTGTATTTTCATATGCTTTTCTTTGGCTCTTTGTTTGTTTCTTGTAGGAGGATTTTGTGCTTCATCCTTGTTTGTGTTTATATATAAAGTTGGGCCTTTTTATATTAGCTTAAGCATTTAGGTATAATGATCATCCTACTAACATTTTATCATGGTATTTCTGAAGTTTGGATCCTTGCTTGCTTCTTTTTGTTGATAATTGAAGTGTTCTATTTACCAGTAAGATGACCACCAATCTTGGTCTAGCACTTTATCTTGCACATGGGTCCGTGTGTCAAGCCTGTTAATCTTTCATCCTCCTTTCATGCGAGAAAGATGCCAGTTCATGTAGTTTGTTGGGTCCTGGTGTGCTTAAGCTTTTGGGGATGCCAGTTTATTTAGTTTGTTGGCTTTTTCCCTATGTGCTTAAGCTTTTGGGAGTTTGCTCAGATAACTTATTATTAAATTAATTGTACAGAAGTTTGTTACTTAAGTGGTCAATTAGTATTGTGGTTACAGTGAAATTTCCAATGGAAAATGGGACTAACTCAAGTACCTCTCCTCTATGCTCTATAATTTTCAAATTCTGTGAGCATTTGACTGATAGTTGATATTACCAGGGCTTGTGCTAAATGAGAGTTGAATTTGATGGATGAGAGTTGTAATTTAGGTCCAAGGTACTAGTAGACGTGCTTCCATAAGGATCATAGTTGTTGCATGTGCATATACTGGCCTCTAAAATAAATATATGCACCAATGCCCTCCAAGATAGTTCACCATTCTAGATATTTGCACCAACACTCTTTAAGGTAGCTTTGATAAAAAAAATGCACAAATAGAAGATAAATATTAAAGTTTATATCAACTCTAGAAAGGTTTATATGTAAATATAGGTACTTTATCATGCACATATGCAAAAAAAAGAAGATTTAATTTGCCTGAAAAAGTTGAATAGCTTACTTGGTCGATGTTAAAGAAATTGCTAGGTGCTATAAGTTAAAAAAATTACTTGGTCGATGTTAAAGTAATAGCTTGCTAGTCACTAGGTGCTCACCTAGGTGCTTGCTCGTGTAAAGTAAGATGCTAGGTTATAAAATTTATGCAATTATAGTAAACAAAAGCTCCAAATAGTTGGGACTTATGGTTTTGTTGTTGTTAATATTAAATGAAAAATCATTAAAACAAGAGCTTCAATCAAAGTAAGAATTTTTATATCATTATACTGCAAGATGGTTACCACCAAAACACCAAATTTCATGTCTAGCCATCTATATAAAGCACTCAATCAACAAAATGATAATTAAATTAATTAATAAAGTAAAAAAATCAAATATATATCAGTCCAAGAGCTTTAAATAATCATCAAGGTCCACTATATCGTCATTGGTAACATTTTTATTCTCATCTCTTTCACTACTTGATTTATATCCTTTATTCTCTTCTATTTTGTTAGAATCAACTTCTCTTCAATCATGCTTTCTCGTCATTATTGTGCATGTTGTTTAGTAGATATTTTTATTACTTCAACAGGGTTCTCAATTTCAATGTATGCCGTATGGGCGTACCGGTCCAAGAGGATATCGGTACGCAGACCGTCCTCTATCGGGCAGTACCAGTGTTTTGATTGGTACTGAGGCGTACCGACTGGTATCGCTCCGTATTTTGACTGTTACCGAGGCATTTCGATCGGTACGCCCTAGCATGGTCGGTGAAGGTATTTTTAAGGTCTTAGGGTGTACCATCGGTATGCCCTAGCGTACCGACGGTATATACCGGTACGTATCGTACCGAGCAGAGCTCGGTACGCTGATACAGACCGGTATTTAAAACCCTGCTTCAATAATGAATGCCCTTACCATCCCAGCCCATGTCAAATTGTGACCAAAAACCAACTCATCTTCTACATTTACATGTTAACACCATTTCCCAATCCATCGCTCATTGAATCATTGAATACCATTTGAAGAAATAAGACCAATGTCATGACAAACCTTGAGTGATTGATTGTATTTAATATACACTAGATTATGTGATCTTTGATGATCCTGCCATTTCCTTTGTTTGTATGAGTTTATTGCATGAACTTAAGATCTAATTATTATTTATGAAATAAACAGAAAAAGAGTGTCATGCATGGGTAGCAGGTGGAATGTTTGCGCCTGGTTATCCAACCCCAACTAAGTTGCTCGTCTAAGCGGTGCCTACTTAAAAATGCCTAGCCTAGTGTAGACCCTTAGGAGGTGCTATGGCTTTGCCTTGCCTCGCTTGAGCACATAGGCGATCATCCAAATTACTCTTGACAACATTTATTTGTGATGCCTTGACAACATTATATGACAGAAGAACGTTGATTAAGTCAATTGTGGTGTTTCTTTGTCCATATATCACAAGGATTCAAAGGGTTTTATTTCTTTAGATCTGGCATGGAGTACAATATTTCAGTATTATTTCATTATGGCTACATGCATGTTAATCATACTCGTTCCAGTTTTTGTTATGGGATTACCCCCATTATTAATATATTTAATTTTATCAAATGCATCTCTATGATTGTTCTCTCTTTTTTTCCTACACCAACAATTTTCATATTTTGCATGTTTATGTTGCAGATCTTTATGGTTAGCATTGTAATATCATTACTGTATTTGGATGAGATATCTGCCAATCTGCCACCAAACTTGTCTGAAAGTTGTTCTGGACATTCAGAACATCTTCCTCATAAAACTTCATGTGATGGTGGAAACAAGAACTTAATTTCTTTTATGGGATTGCTACTTGAGATATTGCGTCGAAATCTGCCTGTAGCAGTCACTGAAGTGGGGAATCTGTTGAATAGTACTGTGGAAACTGCAGGAAGACAAGTTTTGGAATGGAGAATTGCTAAATCTCTACATTTCATTGAAGATTGGGAATGGCGTTTATCTATACTTGATCGCCTTCAACCATTATCAGAATGCCAATGGGGTTGGAAAGAGGCATTGGTTATTTTTCGTGCTGCTCCTTCCAAATTGTTAAATCTGTGAGTATGATTAAATTTCATTTTTTGTATTAATCATGTAATTTTTAATAATGTATATCAAGGTTCGCCGTACCGTACCATACCGGCGTTTCGACCCGGGCTCGGTACCGGTACGGTACGGTATACCGCTCGGTACACCCAGGTGTACCGAGCACTGTAACAGTGCTACAGTGCTACAGTGCTACATATATCGGATAATGATAGCCAATTGAGTCTATAATTTTTGGGTGAACTATAGTGTAATAGTCTTAAGTTCGTTTCTTATGTTGTATTACAAATTTGATGTTTGATTCTGTTATATACTGGTTGTACACTGTTGTATTACAAATTTGATGCTCACAGTGGTAGTCTTTCATCATTGTAATAATTGGATACACCGTAGTAATTAGAGATTGAAAGTGGTAGAAGAGAAAGATTTGAGAGAGGATTAGAAGCTGGAGGGAATCTTACAAGATTGTTGACCAGACCCCTATATTTCTAACAAAGGTATTGTAGAAGAAAATACAAAGAGAACAAAGATTAAAATAAACTGATTTACTTTTTCTCTTTTTTTCTTTCTTTTCTTAGCTACAGTTTTTAATATTTTGTCACAATTCTGTTTCTTTGATATCCTATTGATGCTATATTTGTTTAGTTCAGATCTAGTGCTTGTTTTGAAATAATAATCAGCTGAATTCATTCTAAAAATTACAATTATTTGATACAATAATAATACCAACAACAATGATGTAATGTCCCAATAGTCAGTTACATGGATCTTTGTTGCAATCGAGTCTCGTAAAAGAATCGTATTCTTAGTTAAATTAAGAGTATTTAAATCTTTATTTATTGTTTCTAATAAAGTTGTATAGGCCCATACCCATCTTAAATTATTCTCCCTTATTTTGTTCTCTATTGAATCTGCCCCTAATTATTCATAAATGTAAACATTTCTTTTCTTAATTTTTTACTAATAGTTCAATTTATTCATCTCAACATTCTCATTTTAACAACACAAATTTCTTAACTGTCTAACACTTAGATTCATGTTTTCAACAATAATCCTGTAAAAAATTTATTTTAATAAATTTGTTGATATATTACCAAAAAGAATAGATAAAACTAGAATCTTAACCTCATTAAACAAGCCTGAACTTGATAAAAATCATTTGCCAGTATTCTGGTCAAGTTAAATCTAAAAGTAACTAGAAACTAAAAAATCTTTTGACTCAAATTACACCTATAAAATACTTATAAAAATAAATCTGAACATAGCGAAAAATTGCAAGCCTAACACAAGTTTCATAGGTTGAAAGACACACAATGCAACACAAGATTGGACAATCACTTTCGTTTAACATCCCAAAGTTAGTTTTATATTGTAGCTTTAATCTGTGTTGGCGTCTTTTAATAAGCATTAATCAGGCCATAGCATGATTCCCTTGGATATATACATTTTAATTCCCTCAATATGTTAACAGTACTAAGCAAAGCAGAACCAAAATTTCTGATGCTAAACTCTAGGGTAAACTCTGATATATCACCATCAAGCTAGTCATTTTGTCTGATTCAGATGCAACTTTCACTGGAGGGCAAGAAGGACATACTGCTTGCAATCATACACGTTATAGCGAGCTCTTCTGACTGAAATTATCAACATCCATATTCCTTAATACTTCAGTTTCTTTTTGCTAAAGAGAAAACAACAATTAGAGAACTTAGTTTTTCATCTATGCTTGTTGATCTCCACTTTTGGCCCTTATATCTGGCAGGGGATGCTGACAATACTGGTTGAAGTAGTGTCTTGATCACTCAATCTTTTAATGCATCTGTAACTTTGTTGTTTGACTTGATATCAGTCAATCATTCATCTCATTAGCAATTTTACTAGCGTTATTATTCCATTAAGAATTTTCCTCTAATATGTGAAGACCAAAGGATTTTGCCTTAATAGAATAAGAGAAACCTCTGTCCCAAAGCTCCATTAGTCCAAAATGGTTTGATGATGCACATGATTATCGAAGCTGCAGTGTGCATGGTATCGTGTTGTTTTTTGCCCTTTGCTGACCTTATACTTAGTGCGCTGGACATGACTAGCTTTTCAACAAAGGACTTTAGTTACTTATGAAATCTGTTTTGTATGGATTGTAGTAATTGGTCATCTTTCTTTCTTAAGCTACTAAATGGCAAAATGTGGCTGAACTTGTTTTAAAGAACTACTGAGAAAATGTGAAAAAAAATCTTCCTCGCCACAAAAGTTGTGATGATTTTGTTTCTTATTTCACAATCATGAGCAGTTGCATGCAAAGGGCGAAGTATGATATAGGGGAAGAGGCTGTGCGACGATTTTCTTTGCCTCCCGAAGATAAAGCAGTTCTTGAACTTGCAGAATGGGTAGCTGGCGCTTTTAGAAGAGCATCGGTATTTTCTTCGCTCGGACTTTTGGAGCAATATTGTTCTTTGCTCAAAACACTTCCAATTCTTGAACACACACTCATTCTTTTGTTCACATTTTTGCCTTATTTGTTGCAGTATGGTTTTTGCACTTGTCAGTTGCAATTAGTCATCATATAATGGTATAGTATGTAACTTTTATTGCAATTCCGTCCAGATTGAAGATGCAGTATCTCGTGTTGCCGAGGGAAGAGCAAATGCATTTCAGAAGTTGGATATTTCATCCTTGCGTAGTCAGCTAGGTTCTTTGGCTGCTGTATGTAATGATATTGGTTTTACCTATTTGAATTGTGATTGCATATGTAGTCTGAATATAGATCTTTGCATCAGATTCTTCTCTGCATTGATGTTTCAGCAACTTCTGCTAAGTCTGTGGATATGTGCAAATTGCTTCTTGACCAGGCAAGTGTTAACAATTTCTTGTTTTCAGATTATTACTATCAGTGCCAAATGAAAATAGAACACTCTTTATGTCCCACACCATCCTGCAATTCTCAACATGATTCTGTTTCAAGTAGCAACTTATGTAGGAGTACATAGGGTGTCTTCTGGTGTTAAATGAGGAAATCAATGCTCTTTATCTTGTTTCTTATAAAAAGATGAAATTCCCAGGCTAGGAGTGTGTTATCCGAGATCTTTCCTGGAAACTCTCCAAAGATAGGTTCTACTTATTGGGATCAGATACAAGAAGTTGCCACCATATCAATAACAAGGCACGTCCTTCAACGTTTGTATGATCTGTTGGAGCAGGTTAGTTACTCATCAAACCACTCACTTGGCAGGTTTGGGGTAGTTCTTTCTAGGTAAAATATGTTTTTTGGTTGAACATTAGTCAAGAAATTCCATCTCTCATGGACTCCATTTTCTGCATTACAGTTTACGGGAACCTGAATTTTTTTTTTTGTGGTGCCATTCGTACTTGTTTGTCTCAGAAAGTACTGATTTCTTTATATTGCCGGGAACCCAGTTGCCATCTGTGTCATTAACTTATTATTCTCTCAACTAAACCTCCCAATTATTCCATTTGCCCTTTTCCCCTGCAGAATCCTGTTGAGATTTCAGTATCCATAACTTCAAATCTCGTAATTGTTCATGCAATTTTTTAAGTTATTCAAATTGAGGACTCTGATATACCAATATACATGTTCATTTTGGCAATTTCTTTAGGTGTAGTACGATTCCCATGCTTTTCTGGTCTCTGGTCAGTTGGCTGAGTCTGGACATATTGTAAAGCCTCATAATCTATCTTTAATTTATCTGTATGATTATCTGCATTATGGAGAAGTATATTCATCTCCCTCCCCATGACATGCCATACCTTCATTCTTATGATGAAGTTTGGTTCTGCTACTTATGCCCACTTACATTTTTGCTAGGAAAAATCTTTGACCCTTCAGGAAATTCTTGCTGAAGAAATTACTATTTCTCAATCAAATGAACCTAGCAAACAAGGACAAAGGCAAAGGGCTATTGTGATCTTACACCAAATGATTGATGATGCTCATCAAGGAAAGAGGCAATTTTTAAGTGGTAATTGTACAATAATGTATTTGGTTTGTATATAATTTTATGTGATTATGTCTAATAGTATCACAATTTGTTGAAACTATAAATGCCTTTTGTGATGTTAAATTCAGGTAAGCTCCATAATCTTGCGAAAGCTCTTGCTATCGAAGAAGCAGAGAGTAATTATCTAAAAGGAAAAGGTTCCTATGACAGCAAAAGAGCTCTTTTGTATTCTGAGAAGGGTGCAATCGTTGGGCTTGGTCTTAAAACTCCAAAATCATCATCAGTGAATCCAGAAAACGCTGAAAGTACTCCAGAGATTTTTGATTATGAAATGAAAGATTCTGGGAAAAGGTTTTTTGGCCCTGTCACTTCCAAGCCATCTACATATCTTTCAGCCTTTATAATCTATATTGCAACAATTGGTGACATAGTTGATGGAGTTGACACAACTCATGATTTCAACTTTTTCTCACTTATATACGAGTGGCCCAAAGATGTAAGGAAGCTAAATTTCGTTTTATTTTCCTACTTATTTCAATCCTGCCCTGATTTTTTATTTCTGAATCACATGCATCACTGTTTTTTATTTCGTTTCACAACTTTTTTGTTTCTGCATATGCTCTGAGTGATATTTTTCTAATCCATTTTCACTTTCCTACCTTATTGGGAAGTGAGGCAATTGGAGGCTGGTCCACACTTATTAGTAGTGTCCTTGGTACCCATGTTGCATCCTGAACCACCTCACTTTATTTGCCTGTTTTTGCAGAGAAATCAAAATAGGCAGGAAAACTATTTTGTTATCTTTTTGTAGGCATGATGTGATTGTTAAAGGAAATTGTTGTTTGCATTTTTATTGTGGATTGATGTATTAATATTCTTCTGAAGCAATTTAGAACACTTATTTCTTATTATGTTCAGGGAACTAATATTAACTTGGGTAATTTGCACATAAGTAGGACTTGTTTAGGTATCTCAGTACTTTTGCTTAACTTGCAGCTTCTTACTCGTCTAGTATTTGAGAGAGGGAGCACTGATGCAGCTGGAAAGATAGCTGATATCATGGGTGTGGATTTTGTGCATGAAGTTATATCAGCTTGTGTGCCACCAGTTTTTCCTCCACGTTCGGGTCATGGTTGGGCTTGCATTCCACTGTTACCTACTCTTTCTGGGATCAGCTTGGAGAATAAGATCTCCTCTCCTAAGGCTAGTACTTGTTCATCCTTCGGAACATATGGAAAACCTCTTTATCCTCTTCAGTTGAGTTTAGTAAAGCATTTAGCTAAGCTCTCACCAGTAAGGGCAGTTTTAGCATGTGTTTTTGGAAGTACTATATTATCTAGCAGTAGTGAATCATCTGCTTCCAGAACTTCTGATTCATATATGCAAGCACCCGATGCTGAGAGGCTATTCTACGAGTTTGCTCTCGATCAGTCAGAGAGGCAATGACTTTTTATCTTGGAACTATATTTGACAATTTTGTTGTTCTGGTTTAACATTTTTTAAACTTGTAACAGGTTTCCAACACTCAACCGTTGGATACAGATGCAATCAAACCTTCACAAAATTTCCCGATCCGCAATAGCATCTAAAAGTGACATCAAAACTGCTGCAGCTATATCTAATGGAAAAGTTCCTGTGAAACGAGTTCGTGAACCTGAAAGTGACACTGAATCTGAAATAGATGATATGGTTGCTGGTGGGCATAATAGTCCAACTTTATCAGAGTTCAGTACCCACGGTCAATCAGTTTCCAGGTCCTGGCATTCTTCTTCCTCACCTGTGGATGTTGGAATTGATGCTGCAAATTTTATTTCATGTGATTGGGAGAATGAAGGGCCCTATGGAAAAGCTGTCGAGAGGTTCATCTTTCATTACCTACTTTTACTAAGAATATTTACTATAGCCAGCATGTAATAATGCAAATTATTGCTAATTATCATTTCCTTTATTTGCATGTGTAGAAATATTATTTTGTTTAGACCTGCCATGAGTCACCTGGAGAACCATTTTATTGAGCTTTCTTAAATGGATTTTCTGTAAAAGCAGTGGGGTGGACAAAGACCATAAGCTCTTCAGAACTTCCCACAAATTGATTAAACGAGCCATGAAGGAAACCAATTTGTATCATATGACAATCAAATATGATCATCAAGTTGAGGTTTTGTTTTTGCTTGATGCTCATTGTTATATGGTACACCTAATTATGGAACCAACACTAACCTGACTTTGAAAACCAGCACATTTGACCAAATGTGCTGAATGAGTTTTGTATTAGGATTGGTTGTGTTTACTTGGATCAGATTGAAATGCTTTGAGTGCACAAAGCAGCCAGTGCAACAAGGCTCAAACTGATCTCCGACACTTACCTGAGGCCCCCATCCAGTCCTGTGCCACCTGGGTGGTTCCAAGATGGCTGATGTTTCACACACACAGATGGTGCCCAAAAACAGTGCCACAATATGCAAAAAGTGGGCTGTTTTGGCTTGATGCGCTTGTCGGTCATGGACATGTCTTGCAGACAGATTTTTGCAACCAAACCAAGGGAAAACTAGCAAATACACAAGCAAAACATGCGAAGACAAGACTGTGCAACATTTACAAGCGAAAAATGATGGATGCGTCTAACAACAAGGTTGTTGTGGTTGTGGCTGTGGCCATCTGTGATAGGTTGGCGGTCTGACCGGTAAATACTGTCAAACCATTTCAAATTGGGTGACACTGAAGTTCATGGTCCATTGTTGCATCACTTGACAACAAAATGCCAGTCAAGTGATTTAGACTTTAGTCATGCTCTGCAAGATGTCTTTCTCCTGAAACAAAGAAAGCACAGTTATTAAACTGGTTTTAGTTTATGCTTATTGTTTAGGCCGATGAGCCTCATTTCTCATTGCGGTCGCCTCCTGGGACCTCACAGTCTCATTGATTGATGATAATTGGATGCTTCTGGAGTGAGCCATTCTTTATCTTTGAATGATGCACAATAGAATACTGACCATATGTTGGACGTGTAGTTAAGCAAATATTCATCAATTTGCTATAATTAGCTATATGTTTTCTTATTTAACAGTTTAATTGTTTGTGTATTGCCATGGATAGTTATTTTGTGGTTATATAAATTTTGTAGGTTAATTGATGAAGGGAAACTTCTGGATGCTCTTGCGTTGTCTGATCGCTGTTTACGCGAAGGGGCATCTGATCATTTACTTCAGTTGTTGATTGAACATGAGGAGGGGAATAATCCAGTACTTGGACACCCCCATAGCTCTGGAGCCTATAACTTTGGCAGCACCAGTTGGCAGTACTGTTTGCGCCTGAAGGATAAACTGCTTGCAGCAAGGCTTGCTTTAAAGTATGTCATATTTTTTCATAATTCCTTCATGCAGATATATATGTTTGTTTATTACTACCTCAGAATAGTCATCCTTTTTGCTATTCTCATCATGCCACATGGGCTCTTCTGCAGTATCCAATGCTTCCATTGTCATATATCCATTCCTTCATCTTGTGTATATTGTTACCAACTTGTACAAATTTTCAACAATCAAGTTTATATTCAACCTAAGTAGGTTTTTTCCTTGGGTCGAAGATTTAACTACTATTGAAGTAAACAGTTATTTAGGCAGACAATGTTTTAAATTCCTTGCAAGTTACTTTAAGATGTCGCAGCAGGTCATCAGCCCCAACAATTGGCAAGAATTAAATGTTAACATGTAAGTTTTTTCATTTTTCTGAACTTGTCTGTTACTGTGATACCCCAAGATCTCCCACAGTGAGCCTAAAGCTACAGTGCCAAAGAGTTATTTAATCGCAACAGAAGAAAGAAACAATTTTGTTATGGAGACTTACAGGAATTATTATTCAGTCGTCTGTGTGGCAAAAAGCTTTGGAAGAAACAGACTAGCCAACTTAAGCTGAAGAGTCAATGAAGATCACAGGTGCAGTTTATTGAAGGGGTAGAACATTTGTCTTGGTATGAATTTATCGCGTAGATTCACCATGTTTAAATGTTTTAAAAATGGGTCTGATTTTAGTCATATCGGGTGCACCGTTCTGGTCTTTGCCTCATTCCATACCACAAAAGTTAGGTATGTTCATGAGTCATGTGGTTCAAATTTGACTTCATAAAGTGTTAATGGTTTGGTCTTGTTGTCTGAGGGCTTCAGCTGGTTTAGATTTTTTAAAATGATTAGGAGCATTCAAGATGTTAATTGCTGTATTGGATATTAGGCTACAATTGAGTGCCTATCGCTCTCTGTTTAGGCATCCCAAGAGTCAAGACTTAAATAGATAATAGCTATCAGCAGCTAATGCTAAAAGAAAGATGCATGTGGCTGGAGCAGATACAATCCTGTAAATGGATGTTGGAACTTTATAAGATGAAATTAACTTTTCTGTTAATCATAAAAAATTAAAAACTATAATCCTACCCAATTTAAGAATGTGTTAGGCTAGTCCATGGATAGAGCATGGGGGCTTTTGTACATGACTATATAGAGATTAAGATATTATGGGTCACAAACCATTTTTTAAAAAATATATAGTTATCTACTACCCATTATCACCCCTCTCTGGATCTCTTTCTTTCCTTTTTGTCGTTCTAAATTCTAGATAATCAAATCGCATCTGTTTAACAGGTGCATATAGTTTTATGGTGCTCAGTTCCTTTGTAAGGGAAGGATGAATATATATATTTGAAGTACTGCTAGCTACTTAGCTTTGTTGGGCACCAAAAATACCAATTTGACCTATGGTTTATTCTGTGTTGTCAGATGATTCAGCAAGCATGCATCAGATGCTGTGTAAAGACTTATTCAATGCATCCAATAGGCATTGATTTTGTAAAACATGCCTGTTTGTCTCTATCCTTTCATACAACTGATTCAAGATAATGTCCCAATGTATGTTGATTTTGAGCACCAAATAAATCCACCTTTCATATTCTTGGTTTTGCTCTAGCATTTTCAGGGGACTATTTTTCAAGGTTCGCAATACCGTACCGTACCGGAGTTTCGATCTGGGCTCGGTACCGGTACGGTACGGTATACCGCTCGGTACACCCAGGTGTACCGAGCGGTATATTTAGGCGTGCCGAGCACTGTAGCAGTGCTACAGTTCCGCTACAGTGTTGCTACAGTATCGGAACGGTAACATATGGTCCGCGTACCGAAAGTCTGTCGGACCGGTACGTACCGCCCATACCGGGCGGTACGGACCGGTACTGCAAACCATGCTATTTTTACTGGTATGACCTGCTGAGCAATGTAAAACACTGAAATATGCTTCACAAGCATCACATGGTTCGGAATCTTAAAGAGAGATTTTCATATCAACGGGTCTGATTTGCAGCATCACTTGGAAGCTTATGATGCTGTTGGCATCCTTCATCCATTTGTTGGTGGTTCATTGGTAGCCTAAACAATAGGAAATTTTTTTTTCTAGGATAAAATTTATGTTTTGCCATTTTCTTTTCCATATTTGCTGAATTAGCTCAAACCTTGGTTACCAAAATTGAACTGGACCGGTTGGCTGAACCAGAGAAAAGGGAATTGGTCCCTTGACTGACCCGGTTCTATATTTGGATCGTCTATGGCTGTATGCATGACAATTGAGTTGAACTGGTTGACCAAGCTGGGGTTATGGTGACCTGTGAGTAATGGCAGAGTCAAACTGAACAGGTCCAATTTTATCTTTGATCAAAAAGTAATTGAAATGCCCTTAGTTCCAGATTCCTTTTTATTATTTGTCAAGGGCATGATAAGAATGAAAAAGTAATAAGTTAAATTGAGACAGCTTCCTTGTTAATCCATGTTCTCCACATTATGTGTCTTAATTTCATGCCACACGGACCTCTGTCCTGCCTCATGATGTAGAGGATATGAAGAAGGAGAAGAGGAGAGGAATAGAGGAGAAGGAATAAGAAGAGGTGGAAGAGGATTATTATCAAATACACAATGCTCTTGGTGATACGAGGGCTGGGGAGGGCAATATATGTATCTTTGTTATATGCGATCAAAGATACTATTTTTGTGGCTTGTCCTCTTAAGATGAGGAAAAATTTAAAGAAAGAGAAGTAGATAAAAATAGAAAAGAATGAGAGGATAATAAAGAAATAAAGGTAGATAAAAGTGATGGTTATTCAGTGAAAAAAGGAGAAAATATTACCCACTACTTCAACTAGTTATTCAGTGATTCTAGGCTTGGTTAGGTTGATGACCGGTTCAATTTTGATAACTATGGCTCGTATTGATGTTAGTTTTATGCAAGGTTTTTAACTTCGTACTGTATCGGCATACTGAGCAGTACGCCAGGTGTACTGAGCGGTACGCCTAAAATAGGTATAAAACCTTTCGAAAATACCTAAAAAATAAAAAAAAGTTAGGATAGGGTTTTTAAGTTAGAAATAAATATACATTTAGTATAGTTTTAGTAAATCTAATGTAAACTAGGTAAGAATAGTGCTACATATTTTTTTCGGGCTTTGAGGAGTGACCTTGTGCAAGGTTCGCAATTTCGGTTCGTTCCGGATCGTCCTTCTGCTAGTATTGAATTATCTAAAGAAAAAATATTTGAATTGTTAGATTATTTGTATATAACTTAAATTTTAAGATTCAAATAAATTAAGTAATAACACACATATATATACCTGATTCTATCAACAAAACGAACGACGGGCCTCCATGGGTGGTGGATCGAGGTCCACGATCCTATGTATTTGTATATCAATATAATATGTTTGTTGGACCTAATCCTGAAATTGATCCCACGACATAGTATATTGATACACTGTATACCATTGATGGTCGTATGTTGATCGTCGTGAATCATGCGTCCGAGGTGACACCTAAGGCATGAATTGGTGAATATTAGAACTTCTACTTTCACTACTGATCTATTGCTCCGTTTCATACTGTTGGTCGGAGAAGTATGACTAACTATCATCGTACTACTGTTGGTCGTAAGATTCTTCATAATACGACGATTATGAATACGATGAGCTTTGTTCTGTGTCTACGTCATATAGGAAAGGGTTTAAATACCCTTTAGGATGTCTCCAATGGTCAAATTGACCGTTTGAAAAATCAATATAAATCGGTAACGGTCGGTTTCGACTGTTATCACCCGGTACAGGTCGGTAATGGTCGAAATCAATCAATATCGCTCGGTATAGTTCGGTAACGATCAAAATTTCGATCATTATCGCCCGATACAACCCAGTATCGCTCGATACAGGGCCAAAAATCTGGTACCGCCTGGTAGTGGATGATCCGCATGTTGATAGGATGGTGGACCGGTACGTAAGTACGGTCCGAAATTAAAAACCTTGGTCTTATGTCACCTGGGCTTGGTACTAGCATTGTCATTCGTTGAATTGAACAATTTAGATGACAAGTTTGTATCTGCTGTAGCTTGGAGGCATACCTAGGCATCGCTAGAATTTAGGATCCGGATCCAAGGGATTGTATGCTTGAAATCATTGAATCAAATTGGTTAGAATCAGCCTAAAATCAACTAGATTGAATTGGTCTTGATGTGGTGCTTGTATTAGTTAAAACCATGGATTGTTGTACCACCTGAAATGGTATGAAATGGGCAATACATATTGGTCTGGACGTGGACCGGTACATGGATTGCCCTTGTTTTGGGTGGTCCGGTCCAACTGAGTATAAAAAGGAACTAAAACAACAATTATGGCTAGCTTTCTTCTCGGGGGCATGTGGAATCGATGTCGTTGCAACCACCGCTATCATTTGACGTCATCGCCGTTATCGTTTACCGTCATCAATCTCTGCAGGACACCCTCCTCTTCTCCTCCCTCCTCCATCGCCTCCTCTTCTTCCTTACTCTTTGTCGTCTTCCTCCACCATCTCCTCTTCTTCCTTCCTCCTCCTTTTTCTTTCTCCTTCACTATGCCTTCCTTTTCTCCTTCTTCGTCTTCGAAACATTGGTACGTTATGGTGTACCATGTGTTGATATATTGGTACTGATTAGTATGTGTTGGTCTGACCAGCAACTGGTATGGGTCTAGTACATGGTAAGGCAGTCCTTGTT